ATTTGCCGGTAAGCCGTGTCTCTGTCCTCTGATATAAACACGGTCGTCTGCCAATCAGAGCGCGCGTTATATATCAAAAATTTTATAAATACCATTATAACTGAGTCAACAGAATAATTTTATGTATATTTAATGTACTTTAGGGTGCTCGACATACTTATGCACAAATGGCTGGAAGAAATGTAGCGAACCCTACAGCTATGTTACTTGCTGCAGTTGATTTACTTCACCATCTAAAGTAAGCATCATTCATGGTAACTATGTCTACTAATTTTTAATTGATTTGCTCTGTCTTGATGCAATTCACTTTTCATTGATATGAGAGCTACAAAAAGTGAAATTTCAGTTTCAAATTTCCAAATGACATTTCTCATTTGTAAAGAAGCATCGAAAAAACAATTTTTATGAGTTACGATGTAAGCGCTACTTCAACCTAAAAGTTATTTATTTTCGTCGAGCTTTCGGCTCACCGAGCCATAATCAAGACTGAACAAAAAACGTTACATTTTACAAAACAACATAAAAACAAAATGTAACGTTTTTCATTCAGTCTTGATAATGGCTCGGTGAGCCGAAAGCTCGACGAAAATAAATAACTTTTAGGTTGAAGTAGCGCTTACATCGTAATGAATAGACCRACCTACAACCATTTATTTGATCTAATTTTTATGAGGTTTACAAGATAAATTTGAAGTTCTAGTTSAAATAGGCAATTTTCACGATGACATTTTATACTACTTATACCACTACCAATATCACTAGAGTGTAGTCATTATGTCTCTACCATTACCTGACTACAACTATTAGAGTGATTTTCATSGGACTGTGAAATAGKTCCTACGCTAATAGACGCTAGTAGACTCTACAGCCATTGCTTTCTTTTATTGGAATACAACTATTAGACACTATTAAACACTCGTCTGACTAAATAGTAATTGTCAGTCCAAAGAAAACCACTCTACTACAGCTACACCTGATTAGTCTTCTGTAGCTCCTTTAGTACAAAGATGTTTGCCCTTTAGAACAATTTCCTGAAATAAAACAGATTTCTATTCCCACTTTCTTAAGGCCCGTTTACACTTGCAATTTTTGCTTGCAATTTTTGCAGCGCGAATGTCGCGCGACAATCGCCTTACTTTTGAACATGCTTGAAATTTAGCTGCAACTCGCGGCGATTTTTGATCGCCGCGACAATCGCGGGGCTGTTTACACGTAAGATTTGAGGTGCGAGAGAACAAAGTGGCGATTGTCGCGCGACAATCGCGCTGCAAAAATTTCAAGTGTAAACGGGCCTTTATGCACTTGCAGTGCCGATCGTTTTATTTGATTCGCAAAAGGAATCCAAATCTTACAGTGYKAATCGAAAAACCGTGTCCGCCTAGAAATATTTCTGGAATATTTATTGTTCATTGACCAATCAGAAGCAAGATTAACCGTCACCAAGTGCATTATCACGTGCAAATTTAATCAAAACTTCAACTTTACAAATAAATAAAACTAGTTTATCACAAAAATTAGCCTATAAAGCTCACAAATAATACAATTTCGTTGTTTAGAATAAACACAAACTTTGTCCATTTATGTTTCTCATCATGTTTTCTTGTTTGTCAGCTAAAGTTACTTCTCAAGTATATTTTTAGGCGGCGACGGTTTTTCGATTGGCACTGTAATTATAAGGATGAAAGTACAAAGACTATCGTAGTCTTGGTAGTAAAATRATATCATGGAAATGGCTTATTTCCATTTCAAGAGGAACCTTGCACTATTAAGGAATAATTTGTTATTTTGTTCTGTTTTTTCTCAAATCATTTCGGATAATATTACACCTTTTGCTGTTCATTAGCGTAAAACGTACACTCATTTGTGCCAAGCGGTGCTTCAATATGCTAATAACACTAATGAAGTTTCATTTTTGGATGAGTGATTGTCAATTAATGCAACCGTTTGTCAATTGGTGCTATTGAATTTTCATTGCGCGCACATGAAAGCAAAAGTGAAAAGTCATATTATCTGTTACTTTATTTCTATTGCAAAATGTCATTTGTGCCAGCAGTACAATTATATAACATTATTTGAACAATTTTTATAGCTTGGGAACCTATGCTCATCTCATTAAAGATGCTTTGGAGAAAACCATCGAGTCTGGCCAGGTATTTAGTTTATTTAACAAATAGATCTCATTTTTCCGTGCGTGTGTACTCTAATATATACACAGATSACGTCAAAATGTAGTGAGAACAAAAAAGTACGCACGAGACGCAGTCGAGTGCGTGAATGTTGTTCTCACTACATTTTGACGTCATCTGTGTATCTATTAGAGTACACACGCACGGAAAAATGAGATCTATCTGTTTTATACAACAAACAATTAGTTTTGACGTAATCCGTGTATCTATACTTTGATAACACACGAAAGCCAACCAATCAAAACGTCTGATTTTACTGAAAAGTTGTATAAACTTTTGTATCCTATACTATAGTAACTACAACCAACCAAAAACCAGATGAAAGCAGTGTTCAAGAACTGCCGGAACAGTTCTATACTAATTTTTTTACCTCCCAGCATAGTCCATATCGCAACCCACGGAAAGCCTTGTGACGCAGTGCATTCTGGGATTGATAACCAGTTGTCTGTAACGTAGACTCAGTTTTCGAAAAWYATTGGGAAATATTGATATTGTAGTTAATCTCAGAAGCGAAAAAACAAACAAATATCAACATGCAAGGAAATGCATCAAGAAAAACCTACAAAAAATGTACAGGGCCGTACAGTTAATAAAGAATTTCCATTTACTAGGCAAATAAAGCAAAAATGAAAACAAACATATGTTGTCTGTGGAAAAATCGAAACTAATTAGTGTTTTTACGATTTTAGCAATTTGTTTTGATGAAAAAAGGGAGATATATATCCCATGATACATTGCAAAACCATTCAAAATGGCGGGCTTGCGATATGGACTTCTGTTGTACTCCATGAAAACTACAACATAAGATCACACACTTTATTTCTCTAGTTCACAATGCATTATGGGTACAATACACAACATCCCTCCTTTTCCTATTTTTTTACACTATTAAAATAACATGTAAAACAGTTCATATCCTCAAATGAGGCAAAGTTTCTAATGTGCAACTGTGCACAAAGCTCGTTTCTACAACGCTAATAAAATAAATAAATAAATAAATAAATTAGTGGTAGCTAATCACCCTTCCTTGCAGCCCGAGTGCTGAATTACGAAGGACGCAGCTCACGTGATCGAGTCGGTTAGGGCGCTATCATTATGAGGACGATCACATAGTTACAACACACACACAAAGCAGCCAACCAACCGACCCATATCTGATCACGGAGCACAGCTAGCATCGAAATGTTCCGTTTTTGCTGAGGGAGGAAAAACCGGAGAACTCGGAGAAAAAACCCTCGAAACAAGGGAGAGAACGGAAACAAACTCAAGCCACATATGATCCCAAGTCCGAATCGAACCCGGGGCCACAGCGGTGACAGGCCGACGCTCTCACCRCTCGGCCACCCTTGCTTCCCTACATTGTCCTTTTCTGGCACTTTTGTTTCTCTTCTGGTTCTTTCTTCTCTCCAATATATGGTTTCACAAAGCTACTGTTCCTTTTGAACTCAGTTCCATCATCAGCCTGTACAGTAACTTCTGCTCCTTCCTTACGAATCACTGTAAGTGGGACTTTCACAAAGTTTGGTGTTAACTTTCCAGTTGTCTTTGCGTCTTTCACAGGAACTTTATCTCCAGGGCTAATGTTGCTGGGAATTGTTCCCCTTCTCCAGTCTTGCTGTGTTTTACTGCTTTGTCTGAAGTTCCACTTCGCTTCATGAGCTCTTTCAACATCTAATAACTCCGAAAKACCAACATCACCAGCCTTTCCAGCAATTTCTTCCGTATTTTTTTGTGTAAACACTTGTCAATCAGTTGATCTCTGATGGAATCCTCCTCATTTTCAAAATTGCTTTTGTCTCAGACGCCAAACAAATTGGTCGACGGTTTCGTTGGGCAGTTGTTCCATTTTCCTGAATGAATGTCTTTCGAAAGGCTCACTCACTTTACTTAGAAATTGGTTATCGTAGTACTTCCAAACASTCACCATACGACTTCTCTTCGTCTTCGGTTACAATTGAGTAGTAGACTTCTTGCAATTCTAGACCGCTATTATGCAATAACAAAGCAACCTTTTGCTCATCATTCTAGAACTCATTAATAATTCATGAGCTATTAGTCCAATGAGCATCGAATTATTGGGTCACATGATGGGCCTTTATATCCCGATAAAGCACTGATGTTTTACTAATGAGCTCTATATCAGATATAAAGAACTGATGTTCAAGGTCATCAGYRCTTTATCRYAACCMAACACTAGCAAAGGTCTCAGTTTTAATGTCGCATCATAGACCTTTGCTAGGTTTTAAATCAGTTTGAATCAATGTGCAGACATGCAGTATAGCATGGACTAGCCGTTCTTACGTGTGGGATCAAAATTCTTTCAATTGTGGCAAATGCACATGCTCAGTAGAAGTTTAATATGGCTTGCATTATCACTGTTTTCGCATTTTTTAGCTTTTTTTCTAAAATGATAACGATTTCTGGATGTTAAAGTTCTAGAAGTAGTATAAAGAACTCAAGATTGTGTTTTATCGGGACGAAAGACCTCGCCTTCGGCTCGGATCTTTATCACCCRATAAAACACACTCTTTCGTTCTTTATACACTACATACAAGTTGAATGCTCGTTTCCACTCTATTGCTAGCGTAGTAGGCTCTCCTCTTTGGGTTAAAATTAGGCAAACGGTGCACATAAACTTTGCTGAACTTTGAAGGTCTTGAACTTCCAGACGAACTCGCCGTGAACCATTTTACATCGAATTTAATCCTATTTCTTCTTCGAATCTAATTCTAATCTTCCGAATTTAATCCTCTTCGCCAATGTAATCATACTCCATGAAAACTACAACATAATCTCACGCACTTTATTTCTCTAGTTCGCAATGCATTATGGGTACAATACACAACACCTGTCCAGGGGCGGATTTAGGGGTGGTGACAGGGGTGATTTTTTTTATTTCTTTTCAATTTTTATATCATTTTTCATTCAAGCTGTCTCATTTTTTCGCGTAACGGGCTCTCTGCCCCATATCTGCTCTACTGCCTTTTGGTATGCTCTTTTCAAAAATCCTTTTTTAATCAGATTTTTCATCTCTAACTCAGTAATTAGACGACGGAAGAGGTCGTTAACCTGAGCAAAACTCTTCTCACGAAATAGGGTCATCCAATGACAATTTTGCCAGTGTTTGAAAATGAATTGATTCGCTGGTACAAAGCTATCTTTTTCTAAAAGGTGAGGGAGCTTCTGAAGATTGTAGCCATATTAATATATTATATTATAGTACAGAAGCAGAGAGTTCGAAAAGTCTACTGTAAAGCTCCGTAAATTGAGCCGCAATGAATAATCATGTTGTTCATTTGATTACTGAGGAAATTTGCAAGATGTTCATGATGCTGCATCCACGAAGAATGCCGCATTTAGATTTGTTATCTGTTGTTTTAAAACAGTGATCGCATATCACGCGAACCTATTTGCACTACGTGAATATTATAAAGATATGAATATGAAGACCGCATGGCACTATGATATTCACGTAATAGAAATGAAAAAAAGTTATAGTGCTTAGAAGGAGGCAATTCCGGGAGAAAGTCCCTTGGAATAAATTAATTTCAGACCTCGCTGGCATTCGAACCCACGACCTTCGGATTGTACACCGATGCTCTACCAGCTGAGCTACAAGGCCAGACTGGGAGCAGRTCGGGGTGAAATAGATGTTAGATTGCGGTAATAGAATAATGTAAAGATATGAATGATATCCCAGCGAGGTCGGAAATTAATTTTTCCGCACTATAACTTTCTTTCATTTCTATATCGTGTTTATCATAGTGCCATGCGGTCTTCATATTCATAAGTGACAACAGTTTGAGTGTTGTAGTTGAAGAATTGGACTGTAYTGAACCTTAATAAAGTTAACATTAATACTACCAAAAGGAGTAAAGCAAAAAATACTTCCTGGAATGAAAAATAATAAAAAAGCAGTGTACTCAGCATTAATATTATGAAAAAATTGATCATCAGCAGCAAGCCGGTCTCACTTTGATAGTCATATGGCAGGCTGTAAACACAGAGTCTTTTATCTTCTCCGAGTTATAAAATACTTTTTATCGTCGGTTTTTCCTCAGTAGAACTCTGTTCACATTCCTTAGATGAGTCCTTTGTAGTTTCAGAGCCTGCATAAGTTCGTATATAGTTCGCTTGTGCTAAGATAGGTAGCTTGTTTGATAGACAATTCTCGATAGACTCGATCGACTCAATCATAGTTAATTAACTCAATCGATCGATAGACAGTAAGATAAATTTCACAATATAAAGTTTCTCCATAAATTCGCGGTACAATGTGTTGCCCAGTATCGTGCCGGTACCAGTATCGTGCCACAAAAAAATTAAGTCAAATTTCGCGCTACGAAAACGAAGTTTCGGAAAACGAAGAATTCCGAAAGCAAATCTAATGCAATCGCTATCCGAAATCATGTTTGGCGGAATCTAGACATCTTTGTGTTCTAGAAGGCCGCCAATTTAGTGAGGTAAGTTGAAATCTTTCAGCTAAAATTCACGAGTTTTATTGTGCAGTGAATTGAAAACATCTTGAAAATTAGACCTCATAAGATGTAGTTTCAATGAAATTTCTCCAAATTTGGAGTTAAGAAAGCTAGATAATGTATATTTACATAATAGTTCGCGAATATTTGGCATATATCGTATTTGCAATAATATTCAGGGTTACATTTCCAGTAGGTTTTTAGTTCTTGTGCCCAGTATCGTGCCATGTACAAAATAATTTTTATTGTAAATGAAGTAATCGATAAAGCATCTTTGGAAATGAATGCAAAGTGTGTTTTTATGTGTATAGATGTTTTAGACTCTTCGTATGTAGCTTTGTGGTTAAATCTGCTTTGATTGTTGTACACAACGGTGTACGTATAATTCAAGTGCCCCTTCTWAATTACATTTCAATCACTTTTCGGCCSATTTATAAGAAATAATATGAGTAAAAAGGTACAAAAACTAACTGTAAGCGATATTCTCTCCTTTAAATGTTTATTTTTGAGAAAAATTGAAGTGGTCAAGTCGTCTCGGAAAAAAATGGTAATTCTAACAGTAATTTAAGTAGCCTTACTTAACAATAAGGTTTTCGATAAAATAATTTTATCAGTGCATTAACAAATAAACTTGCTTTATTGAGGAAAAAAATTAAAACGATTGAGGTTGGTATGTAAAAGATATTGCGATTACAAACTGAAATGGCACGATACTGGGCAACACACTGTATCTCTTGAAGTGCCCTTTCGAAAAAACGCTCGGCATATTCTAGTGTCGCTATACCACGAAAGTGTGGATTTGTAAGTGATTTGGGCGTAATTTGTATGTCTTCTTCCATCACGCGTTACACTCTGCTGAGCTTGGGCTACCTGTGGGCAATTTGTGACTGATGAGCGACGACAAAGAAGGCCGAAATTTAAACTCGGGATTCCTTTGGAACCCCGAGTAAAATATTCCAACAAAAAGAACGCCAAAAACGAAACAAACTCTGGAAGCCTGCGGAATACCACGTTAAATGGCAGAGCAATAAAACATCATTCGTTTTTGAATGTTCGGAAAGCGCACCAACAGAGGTGAAGGCTATGGACTGGAAGTGCCATGTGATTATGGCKATGAATTTTCGATAAATTGGCTCAAATCCAAACTGAAGAAAGAAGGCCATAACACATTATTCAGTTCCATGTATAGTTAGTCTTATCATTCACAAGCTTGTTAAACTGACAACTTTTTATTAATCGTAAAAATAGATCAAATGAAAGTTATTGAATTTAAGTGTTCGCTTAAGGGGGATTGAAAACAATAGAAAAGGTCAATTGGGAATCGCTTAAAGTGTCCGCGTCCGCTTACGAGAAAGTATAAATACAATGTTTGTATGGGAGGAAAAACGGGGTTTTGAAAAGCTGTCCGTTCCTAAGTAAAACTGTCCGCTTACGAGAGCGTCCGTAAGTAGAGATTCGACTGTAATTCAGAAGTACTTATTATTGTACCCTGGGAACCAGAGGCTGGATTTRCTCGTTCTTGTACTTTATTTATCGACTACGAGTCGATAGCCCATGAGGCCGAGGCCGAAGGCCGAATGGGCTATAAGTTCGTAGTCCACTCGCCCTCGAGATCTAATTGTTTTAGTATTACCATACTAGTTGGACAAAAAATGAATGAAATATATAAATAGCTAAAATAAATGTTTTTATTGCTAAAAATAGGCAAAGTCGATGACTATTGAAAATGGACCCGAGTAGCGTAGCCAATCAGAACGAGGGATTTGCAATAGTCCACTAGTATGGTAATACTAATGACTGGTATTCTTATGGTTACAGGCAATAAGTTTATCGGCCTTGARTCGACATRATTTGCTTTCATTGATTACTTGGCCGCTTGGAGATACGTGCGAATTTTATCTTCTCTTGTTGAAAATCGCCATATGCTCACTTGTGAGAGATCTTTTCAACACTCGAAGATAAAATCCGTATTTTCGAGCGCMCATGTAATATCCTCCATCCCGTTTACTGATAAAATTTTATATCCAAATGGGCCAAATTGCTGTCTAAGTCAAACAGTGAACCAGACGCTTTGTCGTTTAAGTCAAACAGTTACCACTTCTATCACAAACAATTAGAAGTTTGCTGATCAGTTGAAACAGCCTCAAATGCTAATGATCGAGGTTGAGTTGGTGATGCAGATTTTTGATTTGTATRACCAGTCAGCAGGGAAATACAAGGGGGTCAAACAAGTACAACATTTTTTGTAAATTTTCAGCACATCTTTATGGCTCATTATTTTATCGCATTTGGTTTTGGCTGAAAAGAAAAATAATGAAGTACAGCACACTGACCAATTGACAAAGTGCAGACATCTGTCTATCAATGTTACCTTTTAAATATATCTCTGACAAAACTTTCTTGCTYGCACTTTATAAAGAAGGAATGGCACAGCTCTGTAATGGGGAAATCAGTGATGTAGTTCTGATTTAGGCTAATTTGACTCATAAAGGTTAGATTTTAATACTTGAAAGTATTACTATTTGTTTGTTTTCAACAGACATTGACAATGGACATGGGTGGTAGTTCTGGTACATCTGACTTCATGCATGCTGTCATTACCAACCTCCATCCACAGTGAATAGTTTGACTAAATTTGGGCATTTGTATGATTTGCTACAATGTATTGATAACAGAGACTACATGGACAGTAATGCATAAATGCACATGGCTGGATTCCATGGAGAAGTAATCTTATAAGTCCAAATGAGTTTACAGCTTCTAACACTACAAATTATTTACATGTAAAAAAGYCTAATAAAGTCTATTTATGAAAATCAATATTACACTGTGTGGTGTAGCAACAGTGTTTTTAGCAAACAAGTCATTAATGTGGAATGTCACCCGATAGACTCGGCAGAACTTGAAGTGAATTTAAAAAAAGGTAATACATCAGTATTTTTTTCAACACAATAATTGCTTCCGTTTACCACCTCTAAATTACCATCGAACTCCACACGAGTCAGAACATTGAGTAAAATAAAAAATAAAAAAGTGAAAAACGAAACAAATGATAAGAAATGTAAAAGAATAAAAAGTAAAGAAAAATTTCGAAGATGGAAGAAAAAAAGTCCATCAAAAAAATCAAGCCGCCAATTATGACACCACGAGAAGATTGTTTAGTACTAGTCACCCTAGCAAATTGTTGCAAGTTGCACGAGACAATGTCACAATGGCAACTTTCAAGCGCATAATATGAGACTTGTGAGACACAAGTCTCATTCGCTCAATGGCAGCGAATTGAAGCATAAAACGAATATTCAGTACTGGACGACTTTATTTTGCAGAAAAATGTTGTTTTTATAGGTAATAGCATGTTTTGTAGTGGTATTTGGGATAAATACCATGCGTGATATTTCAAAAGTGTCGAACAATATTTCACGAGCGAAGCGAGTGAAATTTGTGACAATTTTGAAATATCACAAGTGGTATTTATGCCAATTTCCACGTACTAAACATGCTATTATTTGTTTATAAAATGATTGAATAAAATTGTGCAATTTGAAATACCACTATTAAGGATAAATACCACTCCTCTAAGCCAATCAAATTGCACATTTTTATTCAATCATATTATAAAAATGGAAAAACTRCATGGCAACATAACTTTTACAATGGAGAAACAGAATAACAACGTTCTGCCATTTTTGGATATTAGTATCTCAATTACATCTATTTTTCGTAAGAAAACGTTCACTGGTTTATTCACAAACTATTTTAGCTTTTCGCCTTTGACTTACAAAATAGGCTTATAGACCTTAATGGATCGCATTTTCAAAATCAACAACACTTGGTTGGGTTTTCATAACGATATAACAGATCTTAAAAAGATTCTTCGAATAAATGCTTACAGGGTTCGTATAGTCTTGAAAAGTCCTTGATTTTTGAGCTAGGTCCTTGAAAAGTCCTTGACTGCAAATTTTCCTTGAAAAGTCCTTGAATTTGGAGGAAAGGTCCTTGAAAATGATAATTTGGTCCTTGAATCAGTTTGGTTGTTGTTAGGCTATGTTTTAGGGATCAATTTAGCCAATCTTTGGCAAGAAACTTTTATCCTTTT